AGTATCAATATAGTATAATATATGAAGGTGATATATTTGTAGTATCAATATATTGTAATGGGTGAAAGTGATATATTCGTAGTATCAATACAGTGTAATGGGTGAAAGTGATATATTCGTAGTATCAATATAGTATAATATATGAAGGTGATATATTTGTAGTATCAATATATTGTAATGGGTGAAAGTGATATATTCGTGGTAATAATAGTGTAATGTATGAAGGTGATATATTTGTAGTATCAATATAGTGTAATGTATGAAGGTGATATATTTGTAGTATCAATATAGTGTAATGTGTGAAAGTGATATATTTGTAGTATCAATACAGTGTAATGTGTGAAGGTGATATATTTTAGTATCAATATAGTGTACTATGTGAAGATAATATACCCGTAAAATGGAGATACTATACCCTATGTTAATGATTGTTTTAGTGCATGTCTTTCTATCTGTTCCATGTATTGCCTTAGTAGTACGAATATTGTTTTTTTAATGGTGTAGGTATTTATGTTGCGATTCAACAAACCAGATGTTCACATTGAGAATGTCGACTATGATGATAAGTAACACTATCGAGAACTTTTCATACAAATTAACAAATAATCTCTGCAATTCATCATTATCTTGATCTACTTGCCGCACAGTTCATGATCAATTCAATAACAATTAACTCATCTCTGTTTACCAGGAATTTAATGAAATGGAATCCCCATCTTCCAGTATTTACGGTTCACGTATTATCGTCATTAATGTTAGCAGTGCACCCGTTGTTTTACAGCCTTAGTCAGTGGTAAGAATTTACTGATGGAATTCTTTATCATATCCACGCACATTTCCCTCTCCCAGTATACAGTGTATTCCATTGATATGATGATATCCTCTGTGACAAATCCTAGCCACCACCATGCCCCACAGATGGAATTTCTACCTCCATGTTTCAAGGAACATAGTCGAAAAATTATGTTGTTTTCACTCGGCGTAGTGAGTTTCTTTTGTGGTGTCTGGAATGCCTCTTATCAGCCGGCGGACAGAACTCTATACATTGTGTGCATACTCTGTGCAATTTTTGGAAGTATAGCCTGTTTTATTGTGCTCATGTCCTGTCTGAAAAACGTCCTTCTGCAGAGAATGCCGCGTGGAAGAGATGACATGGACTCGCGACTTCAAGATAGAACTTTAAATATCCCCATGGCAGCAATTGTAGGTGATGTCTTACCGCGGATGTCTGATAGCTGTACTTCTATCGAAGAGATCGTTTTGCCATCCGGACAAATGCAAGGCCCCCCGCCTTATAATGACACATCGCGGAGTAATACGCCGCCTTTCGATATATTTAGTCCCCGTGGGGATGTCATCTCAGACGTAGACTACGATTCCGGAGCAGATATGGGAGACCCTCCTCCTTACGAAGGGGAGGTATATGGACCGCCACCTCCTTACGACAGAGTTCTTGTCAATGATCTAGTCGAAGATGTTGATGACGAAAACGAAAACGAACCACCGCCTCCATATGACGAAATAACATGATAATAGACTAGATTTGTGATTGGTAAATAGATTGAACACTAAGTGTTAACGTGATACTGAGCGCATACTGACTGCGTATAAATCCGCATATCATTGACAAGCTTTTAAGAGCGAACACACTGCAGACTGATAGTAGTCACTGTGCTTGTACACTAGCAAGTCAGATTGATTCTTATGAATTATTCATTGTGCTAGGCACAAACAAAAACGGTAAATATTACTTGTACCGGCACTCCAATAAATAAATATTGGCAGATCGCATATACAGCTAACTGTAACATACGACACATTGACACATACATGATTAGACGATATATATATATATATATATATATTTACCAATACAGTGGCCTTGTATTTAGTGTTCAATCGGCGAATTGTACGTTTATCTACACAGTGGCTTCCTGTTTGGTGTTGCCTTTGCCTGAGACTTGTAGTTTTAACTGACATTTTGGTTCGACATAAATTATCAGTGCCTGGTGCACACCAAGGATTCAATGGATTAAATGAATTCAGTTAAGTACTGAAATGGTTAATTCAATGTTTGGTTGAAAGTCGATTCCGGAACAAAGCAAAAATTACGATGGAAATATAAATTTCCTATTACTCGACGTTAATTTAAAATGGAATCTTCGAGTATGACCAGGATATGTGCTGCAATTTGTGGATCAGCAACAGATACGAACCGTTGGAAGATATCGCAAGATATGTGTATGAACAATCAGTTACATATTAAAAGCATGTCACTGTTCGACAATACAAGTGAATACATCAATGTTAGAGTAATCTATTGTAATATCTTATACAATAAATATGTTTGTTATGCAATGACAATAACTCATGTACGACATCACTAAAATACTAAATCCTTGTTTGAAAACAACATGAATGACCACAAACGAGATTAATATTTGGCAACAATAACAAATATACAGATATCTTTAGTAGAACCCCTATATTAAATAAATAAATATTAAAAATACTTAATAATTTCGAGCACTAAAATACATCATTAGAATTTTAACATTCAACAGGGGGACAGGTTCAATTAGAAAGATTACATATAAGGTGAGTGTGACAGCAGCACGCAAGCGCCATACTAATGGGGTAACTCTGGTCTAGTCAAATGTCGTATAGTTTTTCCAACACATATTTTTGTTTAATTTTTGCACATTTTAATGTTTTTTCTATCATTTCCTTGATAATTTTGGATTTACCAGAAAATAATTGCGTATTCAACTTTTTCAATTAATTATGCGCATTTAATTTCGAAAATGTTAACAAAGTTGACTTTGTGGTTCAAAATATTCAAATACTTATTTAGAACTATAGAATTTCACAAGTTTCACGGAAACCATAGTTCTTCTAAACACTATATGCGATATAGGTAGGTACACTGCTGGATATCCAGATGAACACGGTCACCTACTTCAACTCATGTTCTTGAATAGTGCTATCCTTCTTGTTCATAACATAATAGTTTGTGGAGCTGATATCCAAGGCCATAATGAACAAATATAAAGATGTGTATGTAATCCAAGAAATACAAGAATACGTGAATGTTTTATGATATATCTATTGTTCGCTACATAGTTCATCTTAAAGTTATTTGATATGCCGACGAAAATTAGTATACGTGTATAGTTTTTATGACAAGCTAACATGGCGTATACAGGAGGAAGTTTTTTTCAAAAAATATAGAGTTGTTCAATAAAGTTGTTTATATTATACTATATCAGTGTTTACCATGTCAGTTTTTTGTAGATTTCGTTTTCCATTAAGGCAATGGTGTTATTTATTAGAGACGGGTACGCGGCACGACGACCACCGCCCTTTAACTATGTCGTGGTATACCTTAACCCCAATATGATTCAGCGTACTGACTTCACAGTGACATTATAAGCATAATACCATATTATTAGCCGAATGTTACATTTTCAACACGCATAGAATTCATATATACAATGCTTTTATGCAATATCAATATTGAAAATACGCAAGAATGTTAATATCTATCAATTATATCTACCAATGGGTAGTCAGAGGCCGAACACAAAAAAACCATCTAAAACTCGTAAAATAAGTAAAAGGTTAAGTTCCATTACTAATACTCATTTTGTCCATACCAATAATAGTGTAAATATATATAAATTACGTTACTTTGGAGGGGCATTTAAGGTAGCGAGAAGGTTTTGTGACGTTTTTAAATAAAACATTCTCTGTCTGTTGTCTCGTTCAGAACAGTAATTTAGGTTATATATATCAAAAGACTAAGTATAGAGGTGCAAGTTCGCACAAACTGGACAGACATTGTTTACATAATTATCACGTGACATCAAAAATGGCGAACCTTGTAAAAATGACTAAGTACGCGATTGCGAGAGCACACTGCGGAATTTCCTGGTGAAATTTAAGTTATGCATTGTCCGTAATCAAGTCCATTGAAATGCGTCTCCGATAATCAAAAGACCTATTATTCCGATTTCTATGCAGGTTTGTTTTTTTGTCCCCAAATTATTTCATACTTGGCACCTTTGACAGACTAAATATGTGGAATGTAAGCCTGACTACGGGAGAGGGTGTAAACGTTGTAATTCAATTACATAAATTGTAACCCGTAATACCGTATTGAAATGTAGTGCCTACTGGTCGTTCTTGTGCTGACGCCACTTAATGAAGGCGATCAATACAGAACACAGGATGATGACGGCCGCACCAATTATTTGGTAAATCATTGGCGGCGATTGTAAGATCGTTGTCTGGAAAATATACGATGCTACGACTTCAATGTTCAATAACATAGACACGGTAGAGGCGAGCTCGAATTGAAAACTAACATAGAGCGTGAAAATGGCGATTGCGTCTAGTACGGAATACGCAGTGAATGACATGGCATCCAATGTAGACATTGACCACACGGGTGGTTCCGGTGACAATGTATATAAGAATATAACGGAGAGAATAAAACCAACTAAACTATCATAAATAAATCGGCAGGCAGCAGAACCATCCTTGGGCAATGATCTGGCAAACAGACAAGTTAGTGAGAATATAATGCCACAGGCGATAGCAAGAGTGTACCCAATAACCGGTTTTGCCTCGTCGGGGGGGAACTGGAAATCATACCCATTGACATTGGTGTATTTGAAGATAAAGGAAGGCGCCGCTACCAGTAATACCCCGATGATACTTATAGTGGTTATCACGATTTCTGCAATGGTAACTGTTTCGTGTAAAAACATGAACGCTAAAACAGATGTTAGCACCGGCGTAATGCCACGCACAACCGCCGTTACGTTTCCTACTTGTGTATACTCAAACGCGTAGTACGCTAATACGATCGACGACCACCGAGTGACTCCCATTACCATCATTATAGCCGTGTCTCTTTTTCCCTGGGTACAAAGCTGTGTACGTATCACACATGACAGGATTGCGGAAATAACAAATAAACATGCATACGCGATGACGCAGATCTGAAATACATGAACATTTCGACGTTCCGCAAGCGTTACCATGGTAGTGGCAGAGGCAAATAGAATCCCGGTAACTAAGGCAAGTATCACCCCACGAAGAGAGTATATGGCCTGGAAGCAAAAACATCGTTTACTTGTCTTCTCTTGGTCGTGCATCAACTTGTCAAAAAGAGACTTAGTTTCTTCCGTGGTGGCCATACTTAATGAATACTCGCTCGTCGGTTTGAAAATGTACCAGTCTGAGAAACAAACATAAATGTATAAACAAATTATTTAATAGAGTATCACTAACCCTAACCCGAAGGTATTGAAGATCAAGTGCATTAGCGTCATCGGAAGTCTTTATCGATGTATTTTTTTTCGTGCCAGTTCGAATCGAAGTACGTAATTTGCTGGACTGTGTGATCCGTGGTTAGAGAGGTTAGTTTTATTTCATCTATTTAGTGTCAGCATAAATTCAACCTGTTGAGGGAATATATCACTATAATGACATGATCAATCGTGTAATAATTTGAATATATAACGGGTTGTTGGTGGTGAGAGTAAAATAAAATTCCCTTAGACTGAAGAGCTTGAAATTCTTCATAACCAGTTGTTGTTATTACCTCAGAGAGGCGTATTCATAACGTTGTTGCTGTATTTTTTAGTTATACGATACAGAGTTTAAAACACCATAATTCATTTCATTGTGCGAGGTAACCCGGGATTGCTGGAATGCTAACAAAATGCGTCTGGATAAAAAATCTAAACTATCTTTCGCGTCATTGACAATATAACTCACAATTGGACGCAATATTTTCTGTCACATAATCTTTTTTACCAACAAACTATGTTGAAAACATGCCCATCAGTCTTCTCTTACATCAAGTATTTTAGAATATGTATTCATTGTTATACATTCAAGTAGAGTTACTACCAGAGGGTGACACTCAATTAAATATGGGTATTTTACTAATTCATACCCGTGCTGTAAAAGTACATCATACACATACGATCTATGAGTAAACATCTACATACAATCATATATAACTAATGAATTGTGTGCATTAATTATTTATCTAAAGTGACCAACTCTCTGGTATTAAGGCTCTGTATGGTAGATTTCTAGATCGGTACTTCAGATATTGCTACTATAAAAAAAGAACACCGATAAGTGGTAGTTGAAACGAGCATTAGTACAATTGTTGTTAACGTACATGTGTGTAGCTTAGACAGTAAAAACGCGGACGGGTTAAGAATTCAGTTTTTGTTATACATATAATGTTTGAATACTAGATAATAGAGTGATAAATAAAACTCAACACTCACCACAGTCTTGTTTCAGCGATCTACAAAGTATCTTCTCTGATCAACGCTTTCCAAACTCTTACTTTAAAGACTAGATTTATGGTGGTGTGTTCTTTTACTGGGTATCTAATCGCTACACTGTACCCACATGTCAAGAACAGACTACACTCCTTCGTCATCGTTATCATTATATATTCTACAAATTGATTTTTCCCATCAACACTCCTCGTGAGGTATTAACATGCCAAAAACAGAGTTCCGTTTTGTAATTCAGAGATCCGTTCATTTACCACGCACTGTGTCAGTGTTTAGTTCGACAGTACGCGTTAGTTACGTTTCCAGTGTTTGAATATTAACGATTACAGCACTGCAAGACAATCCGTAACGAAATTTTATGCAAATATAATGTAATAGTTCTACTATTGAAACCACTGATCTCGTACGTGCACATCGTTGCTCCCTGCACAACAGCTGTGTCACCATGTAACATTTTAGTGAGTCGGTCTAATTATGCTATATCAGCCAATCACGATCAGATAGGTGCATTTGTGAAACGTAACAAATATATAATCCTGTTTGGACCAGCTGATTGGTCAGGAAAAATCTCTCTCTCAAAAAAAAAAAAAAAAAAACGGCCCACACAATTAAGGTAGAAGCCTACTCATGATTTCAAAAACCCAGAATTTCTTAATTTTTTAATATATTGTACTTCCAGGCAATACAAGAATATTGACTTTGAAAAAAATGGGGGTCACCAGGTTAATTTTCGAGAAAATCATGGTTGTATTTTAGTGGATAGCGGCCATTTTAGCAGTATTAGTCCAGTCATTCTAGCAAAAAAAGGGGGCCAACCCGTCACAAATTGCAACAGAAATAATATCTTCACTGTGCTTTTCGGAAAGGTATCTAGATTGACATACTAAAAGTCTAGGAAAATCTAGGCTTCCGAAATATACCTAATTTGCATATATTCAAAATGGCCGTTTTGCACATTTTTACAACATGAAAATATAACTATTTGGACATATCTTTAATTCTAGATGGGGTATTTTAAAAATTCATGATGCTATGGTACTGTTTTGAGTCAGGGAAGGTATGAGAGTGCTAAATGTGTTGATTGGGTAACTGAAAATTAGCATAAATCCAATATGGCCGCGATAATATAATTATTTAATGTAACTTCTCTTCCGGCTTTTCTTCTATGTGGCATAAGTAATAAGTTTAAGATGCTAGAATGCTAGAATATTTTAAACAGAATCGTACAGTACAGAACAGATGTAAATAAATGATTTCCTGGGTAGACAGATGCTTCATCTGCATGAATCCAACATTGCCGTCCCATCTAAAAGAAAAACTAGAGGAATGAAACACGTTGGTTGGATCTACAAATCAGCTGCTATACTTTATAAACAATAGACAACTTAAATGTAAAATCTCAACTCTTTAAACTATGTTATTGATTTAACAAACTGTATTAAATAGTTATAATTCTGTCCAAAAGTTTATTGTTTAAAAATTTAATTGCTAATCGTCATCGCTATCTTCATCAGATATCTGGACTACATTTGTGCATCCAGATCCTCGATATTGACCACAATCTGCAGAACATTCAAGGTTGTGCTTTCTGCAGGTACATCTGAGACTGCGACAGTCTGTGGAGCAGTTGCATCACACTATCCTTAAGAAAAATTCAGGGGCTGCCTCCTTGTCAGTCATTACAGGAATGACGATCTGTTGTGGATCGCGTCCTGGGATTTGCTTCCTGGCGAGAAACCCGATTCGTGTCTTTATCACGACTTGATTGTCCATAAAGACGACACACCCGTTCAAGAATGACAGGGCCCCTAGTTCAGCCTGACGCCTACCTGAGGCGAGGGTAAGTAGGAAGATTGTTTTCCACCTCAAAAGTTTGAGTGGTGCTGATCGGAGAGCCTCAAAGAGCAGTCTGCTTAGAGTGGCCAGCACAACCGAGAAGTTCCAATTGGTTGGTTTCCTCATTCGGGCTTTATGCCTCTGATTAAACAGTTAATAGTCTCCTAATGGTAGGACAATCAGCTAGCCAAGTCCCCGGAGAATCCCAATAGTGACAAGGCTGACCTATAGCCAACAATCGCTGAAAGGACAAGTCCATTTCGTTGGATGGACAAAAAGTCAGCTGTCTGGCCAACAAAGAAATGGCATGGATCTCCCTTCCACTACACCAATCAGTGTACGTACGTCATTTCGAGGCATAGGCTGTATTGGTGGGATCCCTGTGCGCCCTGGCCAAGATGTTAGCAGCCCACTGAGTGAGTCAATCAAGAGCCTTGATGCATGTATGTGGTACACTGCTGGGCTCAAAGGCAGTGCGCCGTCCAGTTGGAACAGCAAATTTGGAAGTCCTGATGCACCCCAGGTGTTTCGTCTAACATTTCTAGCAGTAGTGGAAACCAGACCTTGCTTGGCCCATTGGGTGCCACCAGCGTCAAAGTGCAGATGCGCTTCTGTTGAAGTTTCTCCAGTACCCGGTGAATAGCAGGAAGGGAGGAAAGGCTTACACGTCTATGTGGGTTCATGTCGGAGATTCATAATATATATTTGTATTTGTTTTATATTGCTATTATTATTATTATTACATGTCATTTCGCTATAGTTAATTCGTTTACCTTTCGCATGAAGGATTCCTCTGAGTAATTCTCGACCAATTAGAATCATTTAATTTCAGCCAATCATTTTACTCTGTATTGTATCTTTTTCTCTCGCATACTTACATTTTGTATTTCCCGCTTACGTGTTTTCTCTCACGTTCGATACGCACCTATATAAAGGGCTAGTTTCGGAGTTTCGGGGCTCCTTATTCATGTGTTACATGTTTCTATGCCTGTTTATCCAGCAATAAACCATACCGTGTTTTGCATCCACATTGACTGTTTTATCTGCCATCAAGTTCAACTGAAGCGTATCATATACCCCCACATAATTTGGTGACCTAGACCAGGATATCTCAGCTCAACACGATGTCAGAAGAACAGCCACCACAGAACGCCGCTGCTGATGCCCAAGCAGTGGAGACGACAAACGCATTGGCAAAGCTGAAATTGAAGCGAAGGAGCCAACAAGGGCAGCTCACACGACTTTTCAACAAAGCCGAAACCCAGAAGAAACAAATCGCCGCCGCGGAAGGCCGGGAAAATAAGCTTACAGAGATTGAACAACTCGTCGCGCTCCACTCTCTCCTGACCGACCGCTATGCAACGCTCATCACGCTCGAAGAACAAATTCTCGAACTCACTGAAGAAGCACTATTTGATTCAGTCAGCGAAGAGAGCTCCGAATATACTGACGACGTAATCTG